CCCAAGAGGCCTCAAAACTGTCTCCAAGAGGCCCCCGAGTGGACCCCCACGGTAGCCAAGCGAACATCCAAGAGGCCGCTGAACCACAACCCAAGCACGGTGGCGCATGAGAAGCCACTAGGCAGACCCATTTGGACCGCTCGAAACCTCGACCGAATGTTAGATGCCGAGGTCCATGTTCTATTTTCAAAAAACCCCCCTGGTTCACCTCCAAGGCGTGGGTTTCGAGGAGATCACGTTCCGTTTCCTCAGGAGAGCCGTTCGGGGCCCCCAAGACGGCCCCAGCGAGCCCAATGAAAACCCTCCGATGATGGGCCTGTTTTACACCACCACATCCATAAGTTGGAGGGGGAAGGAGGAGGAGGAGGAGGACGAAGATGAGGAGGAGGAGGAGGAGGAGGAGGATCCCCTCCTCATCCAACTTATGGTGGTGGTGGTGGTGGAAAACTGGTCCATCATCACAAGGCCGCCCGCGAGAAGGTCCCGAGAGTGTTCAACCAATTTCCCCCCCTCCACGATTATTATCCCATCCAGGGTACCCTGCTCCGTGCCTGCACGGCGTGCAGCTTGTGCTGCACCCCCCCCCCCCCCCCCCACGCATGCACGAGGGGGCAGCTGCTGCTACAAGTCCGCCTCACGAGCGTTTGTTGCTGCAATCCCCCCTCGTACACGAGGGGCTGTGCTCCCGCTTCAGCGCCCTCTCACGCACAGGGGGACATGATTGTGGCAATCACCCCCATGCACACAAGGCAATGTTGCATAAAAGCCGATCAGCAACGAAGGAATCGTGCTGGCTGTTACCCCGCCCAACGTTCGGAGAACTGCTGCAGCTGTCCTGATCATGCACAAGTGACGCCTTCGTTTCAATAGAATACGCCATGCACGAAGAGACTTCTGCACTGCTATCCCGCTCATGTACAAAAAGCAGTTACGTTACAGTCAACCTCGTGACAGAAAGGGCAAATTCACAACACACACCCTCATGCACGAGGGTCTGGATTTTTGCCTGGATCCCTCATTCGTGGACGAAATGCAACTCGGGCGGCAGACCCCTCACTACCAAGAGGCATGTTTTGCCAGAGTCCTCCCTCATGCACGGCGGACCGTTTTTGTTACTAGGTAACCTCCCCCCTATCATGCACAAGAGACCGCTGTCGCTGGAGTCCTTCCTCATGTATCAGGAAGAATACCTGTTAGACGCAACACCATGCGCGAGGGACAATTTTGTTACATCGCCCCCGTGCACTAGAGACCGTTATTGCTACAATCCCCGCTCACGAACGAGGGGCAATTTCTGCTACAATGCATCCGCTCACGCACGAGGGACAGCGATTGCTACTGTGACCCCCCCGCACGAGGGACAGTCTTTGTCAACCCTTCTCCTCTATCCCAGAACACATCAGGAAAAAACATCCAAACCAAAGGTTCGAGCGAAGTGTGTAAAGGCATCGCGATGTCTCGGAATCTCTTTGGCCCCGCTTTAAGGCCTTCCCGATGTCCCAGAAAAGCCTCAGGAAAGTCCCCAAGAAGGCCTCACGAGAGCCCTGGGAGTTGCCACTTTCACGGTCGCTGGAATTGACATCTCGAAGGTGCCTCCTGGGGCCCTCGCGAGCCCTCTCGGGGCCATCCCGAGGCTCTCCCGAGGTCCTGAGGAGGTCCTGGAAGGCCCCGGAAAGCTCACCAAGGTCTCCAGAGGGCCCAGTGCCGGGGGAGGTGTCCCTACCCAAAAGGTCTTGCAAACCTGCTGGTGTCGGGGGCTGGGCAAGGGCTGGATCTGGCGTTAATGACTGCCGTTTCCACGTGGGTCGCCTGTGGAACAATGGAGTGCGCGCCCCAACCGAAAAAATGGTGTTTACTGAAAGCTGTCCCAAGTCCCAGGGAAATTCGAATATACACGGATTCTGGTATACACCGATGACAAAAAAAAACGCTGGCTAGAGAAAATCTGTTTCAGTCGGGTTCGCTCGCACGCGCGCGCGCGCGTGAGCGGACAAAGCCAAGGTTAGGGGGCCACATGCGAACCCTACCCCACCCTCCCCCTCAGAAATCGCGGGGGGTAGGGGTAGGGTTCGCATGTGGTCCCCTAAAGGTTTGCAACGCCAGGTGGCGCCACCTCCCCCAATCCTCGCCCCCGCGGTGGAACTCATTTGGGATTACGCTGCCAATGGGCGCGCCTGCGGAAGCCAGTGGACCATCTCCTTCTGGGGAATGGCCACCACGGCCTCTGGAGGTCCCCCCCCGGGAAACGCCTCGAGAGGGCCCTGGGCATTGCCACTTCCACGAGCGTTGGAAATGACACCTCCAAGATCCTCCTGGAGGCCCTCTCGAGCCTTCTCGGGGCCCTCCAGAAGCCATCCTGACGTCTCGGGGAGGTCATGAGAGGGCTGGTGGTCGAGGAAGAGACATAGGCTCAGCTCACCAGTGCGTCCCCCGCGCTGGCAGGAGCAACTCGTTCACTCGAGAGCCCAGGCAGTTCTTTGGCCACAGTGGCTTGGAGACGGGGGATGAAGATATCTTCCTGGGGTGTGAAGTCCTTCTCCGAGTGCGGGGATGATTGCACCCCGTGAATCAGCGAAAGGGGGAGGGGGGGGATTGTCGCGCGCTGCCGGAAGGGGGCCAGGGAGGAAATGGCACAATTTTGGAATTCAAGTTTCTGGGCCAGGAGGGTTGGCAGGATAGCGTCGGCAATCCCGGAGGTGGACTTGGGAATTACGGGGCGGTCGTGGGCGAAATAAAATGAAATACAAATTTCCCAATCAGTGCTCGCAGTGGAGGGGTCCCGGCGGAGATTGAAAGAACACGCGAGACTGTCATGCCAATTTCTGTACGCGGCCTGGTTCCCAGGTTTTTCGAGCTTCGGACCCTCCAAGACGACACTCCAGGACCCCAGGAACCATAAGACAATCACGCAGTTGCCCTCTCGCGTGCGCTTGCTGTGGCTCCGCTGACCCCCTCTTGGGCCCCTCCCGGGGCCCTCTGAGACGGCGCCGGGGGAGGGGCTCGGAGGGCCCCAAGAGAAGCCCAAGAGGGGTCAGCACGAAGTCAAAGGAGAGCCCTCTCGCTTGACTTTATCTTGTCTCCTCTTGAGCCACTCCTGGGTCCTCCCAGGGTTCCGCTTGAGGTCTTCGGACGTCTTAGGTATAGCTCCAAGATGGCTCGAGAGAACCCTAAGATGGCCCCTCCAAGATGTTCCAAGGAAGCCTTGCGAAGCGCAGCGCCAAGAACATCTTGACAACGGCCTTCTTGAGGCCCTCTTGGAGGCTTCTGGGGGGTCTCTTTCCAAATCCGCCTCCCCTCCTTTTCCCGTTCTGGCCCCTCGTGGTCCACGTATGACTTCGCGCCCACTAGCTCGCCCCTTCCTCCTCAATTCCCTCGCCTCGTTTCTATTATTTGTTCGTTCTGCTGTCCTGGCGCAACCATCAATGGATCGATCGCCATGTGAAACAACATTGTTCTACCCCCCCCCCCGGGTTCGGCGGTGGTGTATGCTTGCTCGCCTCCAGGCACCAATTCAAAACGCATGTGCGCGGCGCTAGGGCGAACACCACATTCTGAGAAAGACTCGCCCTCCATCCGCAAAACTGCTGCAACCGTTCAAAACGAATGTGCACGGCGCCAAGGCGACAACCACAGCCTGAAAAAGACTCGTCCCCCATCCGTGACACTGCTGCAGATTCCAAGCTTCAACATCATGAACGGCGACGGGGTCTCCAGCGATACGCCTGGCCCGCCCTGCCGACGCGTCCAGGGGTGCGACAGGGAGGAGCTATCTACAGGGAAAGAAGGACTGGAGAGAAGGAGGCAGGAGGGAGAGTGAGAGGAGGAAGGATTTCACGCCACTGAGGGGAGGGAGGTTGAACCGCATTGATATGCTGCCTCACTAAACCAACCCTGAATCCACCTTGATGTGTCGCCTCACTGACGAAAAACATTCATTGCCTGAATTTGTTACACATGTTGCCCTCTACAGCGGAAACGAAAGGCTGTAAGCCAAGCATTGATTCGGACCTTGGCAGCCTGTTTGGCGAAACTTTTTGTTGGCCCGCGCTTGGCGTGTCGCTCTATGTCCTTGCCCACGCGCTTTTGGCGTATGTCTGCTTCGTTCGTTCGAGGAGAGAGAGAGAGAGAGAGAGAGAGAGAGAGAAATAGAAAAGACCACATAAGCAAAACCTTTTGGCGCTCCGCGCGCATTTCTTGGATGCGCGCTGGACCCCCCTCCCTGGCGCGCGGAGCGCGCCAGGGGCGGCGCCGGAGGCGCCGCCGGGGGGGCCACAGCGCGGATCCAAGAAATCCGCGAGGAGCGCCAAAAGTGTATGTTCAGGTGGTCTCTTCCTTCTTCGAGAGAGGGAGAGAGGGAGAGAGGGAGAGAGTCCGACGGGTCCCGAAATCCCCGTGGTGGCCCCTCGGAGAGGGCCTCTTTGTCACCACGGCGCGGCCCGGCAGGGGCTGCGCACCGCGGGCCAGCGGCAGGGCCCCCCGTTGGGGAGACAGCCTCGCCTGCGTCCAGCAGGCCTCCCCGGATTCCCGAAGTCCAGCAGGCGTCCAGGAAGGAGGAGGCGAGGAGAGCGAGGAGCAAGGGGAGGTCCCGTCAGCCCCCCCCTCCCCCCCCGTCCACCCCCCTCCCCCGCCCCCCGTTGGAAAACAACTAACAACTCGCCTTCGTCCAGCGGGACTTCCCGGATTCCCGCAGTCTGAAGGAAGGAGGAGGCGAGGAGAGCGAGGAGCAAGGGGAGGTCCCGTCCCCCCCCCCTCTCCCCTCTCCCCCGCCCACCTGCGCCCCACGGTCCCCCCCCGTGAGCATCGTTTATCCGTTCCCTGTCCCCAGCGGCGTGACCTGGGCCCCACTGGCCGATGTACCCCCCTAGATGGGGATGTAGGCCGTTCCCTTCGGGTTTCGATGGGTGTATCCCCAACTGGGATGGTCATGTGGTGGGGGTCTCGAAGGGGACAGGGATGGGGGTGAGGATCGGTGAAACGATACTGACCCCGCGCCCCCCCGCCGCAGGATGGACCGCAGCACGGTCATCAGGTACACCATGCAGGCCTGGGCTCAGCGGACGGGCGGCGCGGCCGCCGCCGGCCGTCGGCCAAGGTCTTGTCGGAGGCCATCTGCCCAGACCTCCGAGGTCATGGAACACACAAGGCGGGCACTCTTCAAGGAGCTTCTGCCCCGGGCCAGTCCACACCCGGGGTCGGCCAGGCCTTGCAAAATCCTGCAAGATCATGCACCCAAACCCGGGTCAATGCGACCCTGGCCCTGCAGGATCCTGCAACCCTGCACCTTCATCTTCCATACCTTCCGACCTCTGCGGAAGGCGCGGGAGGTGATGCACTGAAACTATTGAAGGCCTCGGGAAGCGCAAGAAAACTCAGCGCTTCACGAAGCGCAAGAGGAGTGTGGAAGGTCAGCACGGAAGGTCTGGAAGAATGAGGGCGAGGGAAGATCGGGCACTCTGGCTGACCCCCGTTTGCATGGACCGCCCCGTCTCTTGAGCCCCGACAGCTCCACTGCGTTCGGCCTCCGGGGGCCCTCGCCAGGCCACGGGATGGTCGAAGACCTGCTTCGGATATTAAAAAAACTGGCCCGGGGGAGTGGCGTGGGACGTCTGGGGGCCGCGCGTACAATCAGGGCAGAAGAGCATCCTTCGAGAGCATGAAGCCCTCCGCCGGCCTAACACACCCAAAACCACAAGACCACTCAAGGGTATCCTCCCCCAGGATGCACCAGGGCATCCAACGACCACGAAGAACCCCGACCGAACCGACCCCTCGGTCGTGTACCCCGACAAGACTGCAGGAACGACACACCACCCGATGTACCGAGGGTGCCTTCCCGAACCGACCAAAACCCTACACAGCGGGAAGACTGCAGGAGAACATCCGGCGTCTCGGTTACGCACCCGCACCGGCCCGCACCGGCCCTGGCCCAGCCCACCCTGGGCCCAGGCCCGGCGCGCACGCCCGCCTCGCCAGGCCAACGATTCGAGGGCCCAGGAAGGCACCCTGGCCCGGGAGGGCACCGCCAGGCGCGAGACGAAGACGGGACCAGGAGGGCCCTCTGAGGTCTCACGGCTCCTCTGGAGGATGCATCGGGCCCGCGGCTCGCGGCCACTATAGATCGCTCCAGGACGCCCCGAGAGCTCTGAGGGGCGCTCTGGGGCAGCTGGCTCGGGCCCCGGGCGCGCCCGAAGACGAGCCAGCGGGGCGGGCTGGAGCAGCTCGCCCGAGGGACACGGGTCCTGAGGGTTTCTTCCTCCTCCTCCTCCTCCTCCTCCTCCTCCTCCTCCTCCTGTCCCCCCTCCTCCTCCTCCGCCTCCTCATCCTTCTCCTCCTCCTCGTCTTCTTGATGGCGTCAATATTATTATGTCTGATGTCATTCGTATTAGCATTAGTGGTCTTAGTAGTTATAATAATGATATTGGTTCTCTTCTGCTCATTACTATATCAGTAGCATTATGCCTCGTTTTAGTATGCAATGTATGATGTGTCTGCTGATGTGTCTGCTTATGTTTATGATAATGAATATGCTTAGGCGTATGCGTCTGATTGTGATTAGTGTACTTATAACTGATTATCCTCCCCCTCCTCGTCCTCCTCCTCCTCGTCCTCCTCCTCTTCCTCCACCTCCCCCTCCTCCCCCTCCTCCTCCCCCTCCTTCTCCTCCTCCTTCTCCTCGTCTTCTTAGTTTCTTCTTAGTAATATGAATATTAATCGTATTCCTCTTAGCCTTGTAATGTGTATTCGTATCCTTCGTTTTATCAGTTGTCGTACTATGATTTGTCTTCTTGGTCGTATGGTTCGTTTCATCAGTATGCATTCGTAGTTTGATAGTTGATTGTACTAGTGTTGGTTATTATTCTTAGTAAGCCTCTTCTCATGATCATGATTACGAATATTATCAGTATGTGTTGTCTCATGTATCCGCGGCTGTGTCTGTTTATGTTTCTGGATTGTGATTCCGATTACGTAAGCTTATGATTAGCATTGTTCGATTTCTCCGCCTTTCTCCTCCTCATCCTCCTCCTTCCCTCCTCCTCCTCCTTCTCCTCCTCCCCCATTCGCCCTCTTCTCCTCTTCCTCCTCCTCCTAATCATCGTCCTCGTCCTCCCTCCTCTTCCTCCTCCTCCTGCTCCTCCTCCTCCTCCTCCTCCTCTTCCTCCTCCTGCCCCTCCTCCTCCTCCTCCTCCTCCTCCTCCTCCTCATCCTTCTGCTCCCCCTCCTCCTCCTCCTCCTCCTCCAACTCCTCCTCGTCCTCCTCCTCCTCATTCTCCTACTCCTCCTCCTCGTCCTGCTCCTCTCCTCCTCCTCCTCCTCCTCCTCCCCTCCTCCTCCTCCTCCTCCTCCTCCTCCTCCTCATCTCTCCTCTCCCTCCTCCTCCTCTCTCCTCCTCCTCCTCCTCTTCCTCCTCCTCCTCACCTCCTCCTCAACCTGCACATCCCCTCCCCATCCTTCTCCCCCCCATCCTCATCCTCCTCCTCCTCCTCCTCAGTCTCCTCCTCCTCCTCCTCCTCCTCCTCCTCCTCCTCATCACTCGTCCACCTCCTCTCCTCTCCTCCTCCTCCTCTTCCTCCTCCTCCTCCCTCCTCCTCCTCCTCACCTGCACATCCCTCCCCATCCTTATCCCCCCCATCCTCATCCTCCTCCTCCTCCTCTTCCTCCTCTTCCTCCTCCTCCTGCTCCTCCTCCCTCCTCCTCCTCCTCCTCCTTTCCTCCACCTCGTCCTCCTCCTCCTCCTCCTCCTCCTCCTCCTCCTCGGTTTCTCCTTATATATCGGAGGTGAAAGGGTGAGATCGAAGTGGAACGGAGAGCCCCCCTACCGGGAAATCGATTTCGGTTTCGTGTTCGTGCGTGCCGTGCGGGCGAGGCGAAGCTGCGTGGGCGGGCGAGAAAAAGTCTCCTGTGGCTGAGGCGCGACCGGACCAAATGATTCTCCGCCTGGCGGCCGGTGGCGCGCGGTGTCCCGCCGGTGTCCCGCGAAAGTCCCGTGTGGCTGAGGCGCGGCCGGACTAAATGATTCCCTTCCGGGCGGCCAGTGGCCCGCGGTGTCCCGCCGGTGTCCCGCGGTGTCCCGCGGTGTCCCGCGGTTCGGGGATCTTCTGACCCGGGTCAATCCAGACCCGGGTCAGCAGGAAACCAAAAACTGCAATGCAGGAAAAAAAAACTGCAACGCAGGTCTTCGCAAACCCGGGTCAGCCAATATGTGCGGCCGCCTCGCGGCCACGAGCGGCTCCCAAACCCGGGTCAGCCAGAGGGGGTCTTCGGAGGATCCTGCAGGATCTGGCGCCCTGGCTGACCCCCGTTTGCATTGACCCCCGTCTCGAGGCTCCCGAGCGGTGCCCCGCGGTGTCCCGCCGGTGTCCCGCGGTGTCCCGCGATGATGATGATGATGATGATGATGATGATGATGATGATGATGATGATGATGATGATGATGAGATGATGATGATGATGATGATGATGATGCTGATGATAATGATGATGATGATGATGATGATCGTGATGCTGATGATGATGCTGCTGATGATGATGCTGCTGATGATGATGATGGTGATGCTGATGATGATGGTGATGAAGAGGACGATGATGATGATGACATGATGATAATGTTGTCCCGATGATGATGATGATGATGATGATGATGCTGTCGATGATGATAATGACGATGATGATGATGCTGATGGTGTCCCGATGATGAGGATGATGATCATGATGACTATGTTGATGACCATGATGATGACGATGATGGTGTCCCGATGATGATGAGTATGATGATGTTGATGTTGATGATGCTGACAATGATTGTCCCAATGATGATGATGTTGATGATGATGAGGTTGATGATGATTCTGGCGTCCCGATGTTGATGATTATTATGATGGTGATGATGATGCTGATGATGATGGCGTCCCGATGGTGATGGTGATGATGATGATGTTGCTGCTGATGTTGGTAATGATGATGATGGTGCCCCGATGATGACGATGATGATGATGCTGATGATGATGATGTTGATGATGCTGATGATGATGATGTCGATGATGAGGATGAGATGATGACGATGATGATGATGATGATGGTGCCCCGATGATCATGATGATGATGGTAACGATGGTGATCATGATGGTGTCCCGATGATGATGCTGCTGATGATGATGATGACGATGACTGTCCCGATGGTGATGATGATGCTGATGTTGATGATGATGATTGTGGTGATGGTGATGATGATGATGGTGTCCCGATGATGTTGATGACCGTGATGATGATGATGTTGGTGTTGATGATGAGGACTGTGTCCCGATTATGATGATTGTGGTGATGATGATGTTGATGCTGATGTTGTTGTTGATGATGATGATATTGATGTTGATTGTGGGAGCGGTTGTGATATCGATAGTGAGATCGGTCGTGAGACCGAATGTGATATCGATTGTGAGATCGATTGTGAGATCGATAGTCAGATAAATTGTGAGATAGATCGAGTGAGATCAATTGTGAGATCGATCGAGGGTGATCGATCGAGCGAGACCGATACTGAGATCGATAGTGAGATCGATAGTGAGACCGATCGAGTGAGACGTTGGTTCCTCCCCCCCCGAACCTCCTTATCACCCGAAGGGTGGTCGTATAGGTATAACTGTTCCCTGCCGCACCCCGAGGCCAGATTTCAGGGCGGGCCAAGCGTTTCGCCTGAGACTTCCTCACCATATATGACTCTGAAGGTTAAAAGCGATCACAGTTTCACAGATGGAGGGCGGGACGCTTTCAAAATGTGGCTCTCGCCATAGCACCGCGCACATTCGTCTCAAACATTTGCAAGAGTGTCACGGAGTGAGGGCGGGTCGTTTCAAAATCTGGCTCTCGCCTTAGCGCAGCGCAGATTCGTCTTAAACAACTCGCAAGAGCTTCACGCATCGAGGGCGGGTGGTTTTCAAAATGAGCGTCGCGCGTACTCGCCTTAAACATTTGCAACAGCTTCACGGATTGAGGGCGGGTCGTT